TGTTTGTACTTTTGTATTTGCCTTTGCAATGCAAATAAAAAAATAATAAAAATAAAAAAATCTGAAACCTTTCAGATTTTAAATTACGCCCAAAGGGGTATTTTTTTAACATTTTGCGTGTTACCTTTCTTTATTAAATATCGTGTTCGTCGCACTTAAACCATAAAATTCAGTTCAGCGGCAATATCACAAAATAATTTTAAAAGGAGCATATCTTTCGGATACACAGTCTCGCGCGCTGGAGATTAAAATGTTTTTTTCTGTACAGCGTTGCCATGGCTTGTTTTGAAATCCTTGAGTTTGTTAATGAAAAATTCGTTAAAGTTTTACAAAATATGAAATTGATAATAAAAAAAATCCAAATTCCAAATTAGGGATACCAGATGCCCATATTCGGTGAAAGAATACGTTATTCAAAATTCGATGGCTCTAGGTACTGTTGTTTTATAACAACGCGAGAAACATACATATACATTTATGCAGATTATTCATTATTTAATTTCTTTAAATATAATATAGGGCGATAATATTTTCTGGCAACAATTTGAAAAGTGATACAACGCTTGTATTGAATCAACGCAAAATGCCAAAACGAAATTAATATTCCTTCTGGGCAAATTGCCCCTTTTGACTAATAAAAAATGAAGAGGTCTGCCTATTTGTGTCTCTGTGCATACGTGACGTTCTTTTCGGTCCACGATAACTGTTATATGAAACTATTCCTATTTTCGGTACTTAACCTTTCTAAATTTATATAAAACGTTTATTGGATTTTGGAAAATTTGGCCAACTCGAAGTGGTATTTTACAGTAACCTTATAACAGTCTTTAATGGACAACCAGAAGCGGTAGTTTACCTGAAGCCCGTAACTGTTTTTATTGAAAACCTACATTAAAATATAAACCAAAACTTTTTAATTTTATTATTTAAGACTTCTGTATCAATGGGAAGCACATATTAGATTTTGGCTAAATTATAAACTGTATTATATATTACTTGAAGCTCTGGGCATAAAAATTATGTTATAAGGTAATCCAAAATTTCTCAGATATGATGTTTAAAATATATACGATTGAGACAAAATATACACTGCTCGACATTGAAAATGAAACTCCAAGAAGGAGCGGTCAGAAATTTATACAAATTTTAGAGTAGACGCACGTCACTGAGTTATGCGAATGATGTGAAATGCGCAGCTTTCCAGCGCACGTGAAGTAAGATATAAGGGAAGGAACGTGCAGAATGGGCAATATTCGTGTCGTTATTTCTGCCAGACGAATTATCGAAGAAAGTTGGTTTTTGTCCCGGAGGATACGATACGTGTAATAGGAGAGAATGCCAGGCCGCCGTCGACAAAGGCACTTCCAGCAGATAGACGATTTTACGAGCAGGATCGGACTGAGAAGGGCGGGTTGGTCCTTACGTCAAATCGCAGCTCATATCCACATGGATGCGAGCACGGTGCATCGCTATGGCGAACATGGTTGGAACAAGGAAATGTGGGAAGAAGGAGGGGTGCAAGTGCAGCCAGAGTGACGTCAGCACGCGTGGATCGACGCATCTGCCGACAAGCTGTGGCGGTCCCGCAAGTCATTTGTACCGCGATTCTGCAGCATGTGCAAGATACCCTGGATGTTCCCGTGTTGACGAGAACTATTTCCCGTCGATTGGTTGAACGTCGCTTGCAATCACGGCATCCGTTAAGAAGACTGCCATTGACCCCATAGCATAGATGCCAACGTTTAGAATGGTGCCGGACTGGAGCGATGTGGATGACAGAATGGCGAAACGTTGTGTTCTCAGATGACTCACGCTTCTGTTTATCCAGTGACAATCGCCGCATACGTGTGTGGCGTCGACGTGGAGACAGATCTAATCCGGCAGTAACTGTGGAACGCCCCACCGCGCGACAACATGGCATAATGGTTTGGGGCGCTATTGCCTACGATTCCAGGTCACCTCTAGTTCATATTCAGGGCACTAAGACGGCACAACGATACTTGGATAATGTACTGCGGCCGGTGGCAATCGCCCACCTTCAGGGGATGTATAATATAATTTTTCAGCAGGATAACACCCGACCACACAGTGCTCGCATCTGCCAACATTCTCTGCAAGGCATACAGATACTTACCTGGCCACCGTACTCTCCTGACCTGTCACCAATCGAACATGTGTGGGATGTGACTGGACGCCGTTTGCAGACTCTGCCCCTGCCTCGTTCAAAAGACAAACTGTGGCAAATGGTTGAAAGGAAATGGAGAGCCATTCCTCAGGACACCATCCGCACTCTTATTGACTCTATTGCCTAGACTGTTTTTTTTTCGGCATCGCTGTCCGCGGGGTCCTACATCATACTGAGCCGACGCCGTTCTCGCTCTGTATTCTGACTATCATTTTGAAATAAAGCTCACTTATTGCTGTTTGCTGTCTCTGTTTTTTTTTTTTTTTTTTTTTTTTTTTTCAAATTTATCATTTTCTAACCACTCCTTCTTGGTGTTGCATTTTCAATGTCGAGCAATGTACATTTATAAACATTCAATGCATTCTTGAAATTATGCTGAATGCAACTAGAATAAGTTCATTATAAAGAAAAGCTCTCGTTATAAAACAATTAAATGTATTAGCCTCAATCCAAAATTTTGTGTTCGTTTCACATGTTCGCGTGGAAACACTGTTCAAATAAAAGGATGGATCTACCAAATGTAATCGCTACATCTTATTTTAAAATAAATAATACCAAATATAAATAATATAGCAAATATAAATAATAAACCGAATAAAAAAAGAAATATGTGGAAACATTTAACACTCTATCAGAAATTCTAAATATACTCTGCATTTAGAAATTCTGTGATTGTTGAGATTGATTTGTAAAAGAGAAACCCTGTTATGACCAAAGGACGTGCTAGGACCAATTCGATATATTCAAATCACAGCTGAAATGGTATGTGTGCACATGAATACGTATAATTATAATTGTCCCTTATATGGAGAAACAAAATAATAAAAATCTGGTGTGCACACCCCATAACTTTCTTGTGCGTAATATTAAATTATACGCAATTGTCCCTGCATTTCATTTAAACTTATTTCCTCGAATTTCACTAGAGATATATTTCTCATTCAGTTAATTCAGTTCTCACATCGCGGCAAGGCAAAAATACATAAGAACTCAAAATATCTTCTATAAGAATTGAAAGATATAGAAAAACATAAAACACCAAATACAGTTAAAACAATTTAAAAAAAATTTCAATTAAAATTAGAGTTTCTACGCAAAAACAAGGAGTTTGGCCAGCGGGCAAGAAGGCAGGACCAAAAGGATCACTCGGCAGAAAGACTTAATGCACTATTTTACTAAGTTTCAAATTTAAGCAAATATGCCTGCTACGGAAGAAAATTAGGCTTATTCGCACTTAAACAACATTTAAATTATTGATAATTCTACAATTATTGCATACAGATTAATTAAAGGCATACAAAACGTAACCGAAAGATAAGAATAGCATAATTCAATCATTTTTAAAGCAAAAAAATGTGCAATTTACCAACATACAAGAATAAAAGAAGTGACAGAGTAAAAGAGGGCTATATATATATATCTGTCCTTACGTACGGGCGGGAGATCATTTGCTGGCCACATCAGAAATTTTTATTCTGTAATTTGATTGATTCAAATTAAAAAATCATTTAATTCATGATCTAACTACTTAAAAATGATAAATATTTTATAGAATTGCGTTATATTTTTTCACTTCTCAGATACATAAAAGATATGTAACATTCTCATGTTCGTCTAAATATATAATTATCTAACATTCTCAAAATGTTTCGCTATTCCATCTGGTTTTATTTATAATCTCTCTTAACTTTTAAAGAACCTTTTGGAAAACCATTAAAATCTGAACCCTTTCAGTTTCTTTTTCTTTCTATTTTTGTAAGAAGGATTCGATAGATGTTTTAGGACTCGGATTCGGAAGAATTTTAGATTCGTTTCTCCTCTGTAGTTTAACTCTTTCTCAGTGAAATCTTTCACTAAGTATTGGGATTGATTTCACACACTAACGATGATAAAGATTTCAGAGTTTATTACTTTTGTATGTGTCAACCGTTTCTTAAATTCGTAAGCCGTATGTATAATTTTAAACAACCAGGAATTAAAATAAAATTCAAATAAATTAACTCCAAAATAATTGCTTTTAGAGCTTATGGATTCACTCATATTTGTTAACTGTTTTAGTTAAATAAATTTAGGTGAAGCAGAACTTTACAAATTAATTCATAATAACACAGAGTCTGAATATCCAAAATTATGAAGTAGCTTTCCTTAAATCATGACCTACTGAATTTCTAAGCTGTGAATATGGTTGGGAAATTCTAAATTAGATCTTTTGAATATGAATGAAGCCATGGGATGTTCTTATTGAAAAATAAAACAAAAATAAATACTAAAAAAATGAGAAATAAATTATCTTAACTTTCATATGTTAATTATTTTTGTTACAGTATAATAATATGTAAACATTTTTATTAGGTTTAAAAGAAACGCCTGCGTTTTTCAGATTTATAATGTATATAATAATTTATGATTTGATAGATTACAGAATAATTTTAAGGATTATTCTTTCCTAAATAATTAGAAGTGATACATTACACAAAAAGTATCAAAAATACTAATGTTAAATAACCTTAATTTCTTTAGTAAAATTATAAACTAATAGGAAATTTTTATCAAAAGTATTAAAGGCGAGTTAAATATTAGCTCCTTTATTATTTACCTAAACCTAAATAATTCAGTACTTTGAAAATTCAAACGTATCAGTTCTTAAAATTAAATACATTATTTACAACGTATTGCTCAGTTAAATTTAGATTATTAGAAATTGAATTTAACAATTAATTTTTAGTCTAAAGTTGCAACTTATAGGTCAAATCATCATTTCTTTCAATTTAAAATGATTGCTGGAATTATTTCTCCAAAAGTAATTTACACATACCGTTTTCTACCATCTGGATATAAAACTTCACGCAAGCTATCTCTTCTTTCATTTAGCCATTTTGCTTTAAATATATTCCATATATCTCAAACACGAAAGTGAAACCTGGTACATGCTCAAAGGTATTAGAGATTTATCTACTATCAGCAAACCAAAAAACAGAGCAATCTTAGAATGAGACAATAGAGGTTAGATTTTAGATTTGTCTATCATAAAACATTTTTAAAATTCTATGTTATCAAGGTAGAATTGATAATAATATCGTGCAATAAAGACGTCGGATGAAATAAAAACGGAGTTACCCGTAACTTTATCTTTGTAGATAAAAACTGGAACAAATTGCAACTCTTTAGATAAAATGACATTAAAAGTTTTCCCCAATTTTTAGAATAAGCAATATTTTGAAATTATAAGAAATAATATGAACTTTATCGCATTTAATTTTGCTTTGAATTTGTTTATTTACATATGAATTCGATGATTCGAACATTTTAATCCGAAATTTTCGTTAAATCGAATCGAATATTTTACACACGTAAAATGTTTTCAAAATAAATTTTATCTTTTCTCAATAAGTTAAAGATCTAACGCGAAAAGTTCAGTAAGCCTAACTGAAGTTATTTTCTATACATTTTCTTGCTAATAAAACGAAAGGCACTTCTTATTTGTAAACCATGAAATGTTATGTGCTGAAACTTCTTATATATTAGATTCCTTAATTTTGACATCTGTCAGTTAGTGAATTATTAATCATCGTCAAAATAATCGCACTATAACTTTTATGCGTGGTTAAAAGTGAACTCGAATTCTTCTATCGATATTTTAATTTGGGATCAAGTTCACAGAATTTCATTTTAAATCGTCTAATATTCTAAAAAACTATTGGTTTTGCTGTACTTTATAATTATGTTGTCGGGTAATATTTCTGAGATTTAAAAGAAAGGAAGTAATTCGAAAAGCAAATGAAACATTTCCGTTTCACCTTTCAGTGAACTTATCATACTTAATCATTCACTGGAATAATCTGAATGTATGGCGCTGTTGCTTTCCTCGTTATCATTCTCTAGTTATCTTCGAAACTGATAATGATGAATATCTGAATTATATTTCAAGGATTTCTACGTATCGAAAATTTTTATTATTTTATGCGCAGTAATTTTAAATATATGCATTTTCACATATATTTAAAATTATTGCTTTATTCACTTATTAAATTATTATTTTAAATATATGTGACCTAATTGTCGTACCTCTCACATACAGCGAGAATAAGTCTGGAAGCAACTGCAGGTGGAAAATTTTGCAGCGCTTGAATGGCAACAGCGAATAACATTGCAGAGATGTGTTTGCAATGGAGCCAATTTCATCTCGGGGAGACGATTGCGTTATAAAATTGAGTTTGGGTGAATGAAATGGAATCCACTGCCCGCTGCGAATATTAGTAAAGTATATTTAGAAAATTAGCTGCGTTTGAAAGGATAAAAGCCTTATGTTTGAGTTTGCGGTATTTAACCTCCTAAAGTTGTCTCGAGTTCAGAAAGTTATGCTGGGCTTATTCTCGTTGTGCAGATTCAGTTCAATTTTTGTTACTGTGTTTATGGTATATAATTTGCAACTATATGATTAGAATTCTATTAAATACATTTTCAAAATTCTGGAATGGTGTTTAAAATTTTAGATGTAGAGTATTCATTGCTATGTCGGAACCAGTGGCAGTCAGGTGTAAAGTAAGAACCTTTTGCTCACGACATAACACTAATGTTATTTTGAAGGTTTGGATGAGTATGAGAATACGGGTTCCAGACCCTCAGATTCCATTCTTTCAATGGAAATTGGGATAGAACTGAATAACCTAGTCCTAAATGACCTTAGGCCCATTTAGTCAAAATCTTGGTGACTCGAATTTCGATTACTGGAATTTTTTCCTTGACCGCTGAATTTTGGCTTATGAGATTTTTATTATAGGCGGTGAGTTTCGGCTAGTATATTTCAAAGAAAATATCCACTTTGACCGCTTTCAAATTCATTTGAATGATGTTTTTATCTGACATCTGTACATACGCACAGAATAAAGGACTTTTTCCTCTACACGGATTGTAACACAGTTTGGTTTGGTTTCTGTGATTACGGCAAAGCCTCGAAGTCTGTCTCCCTAAGGGCAGGAATGCCTTCGTACAGGATTTTATAAGGTAAACTGGCTCGTATATATACGTTACACATAGGGAAAATCACGAAAACGCCAATGCAGAAAGTTCGTTCACGGGGTTCGAACCTCAGACCGAATTACAAGTATTCAGAGACTTTAACCGTCGGCCGCTGGTCGGCGATTGCAAAATAAATTCAGAAGACATTTTTTTTTTTTTTCTTTTTTTTTTTTGCGCGACGTCTGTATGTATGTATCTCGCATAACTCAAAAATGAGAAGCCTTAGAAACTTGAAATTTTGTATTCTGCACCTTAAATTTTGGTGACAATCTGCAGCACCAAAAGAATATGTATACCTATACCCATTTTTTTTACCCGGCTCGATGAACTCACTTTTTTATTCTTATATGTTGGTAAATTACGCATTTTTTTTTTTTTTTTCTTAAAAATGATTGAATTATGTTTTTCTTATGTTCCATTTAAGGTTTTTCTCGCCTTTAGTTAACCTGCATACCACAGTATTAGAATTATCAACAATTTAAAATTTGCATAAGTGCTACTAAGCCGAACGAAGCCGCCATTTGTTTGAATTTAAAACTCTTAGTAGAATAGTGAATAAATTCAGTTTCTGCACCAACTTCAGTGTCTTTTTGCCGAGTGGGACTATAAGTAAACTTTCAGTTTTGTGCGCAATAAATACAGTGGTCTTCCTGCCCGCTGGCCAAATTGCTTGCTTTTGCGTAGAAAACTCTAATTTTTTTAAATTGTAAATATTTTTTAAAACTATTTTAACTGTATTTAGTGTTTTATGTTTTTCTGTATTTTACAATTCTTAATAAGGGTGTTTTGAGTTTTTATGTATTTTTGCCTTGCCTCAAAATAAGAACTGAATGAATTGAATGAGCAATGTATGTCTAATGAAATTCGAGGCAATAGGTTTAAATGAAAATCAGCAAAATATATGTAAATGTAATATGCCATAATTTATAATAGGCCATAATTTAATTTTTTGCCCAGTAAAAAATTTTGTAAGGCACAAGATAAGTGAAAATCAGCCGTTGCAAACTAGCGTTATCATGATGAAACAACTCTTTCTTGATATTCACCAATCGTGGGCGTTTTTTGATCAATTCTGAGTTTAGACGGCAAAGTTGTTCTCTATAAACTTCTGAATGAATCGTTTTATTTGGTTCTAAAAGTTCAAAACGTCCTGAACGGGGTTCATCTTCCATCTGCTTTTTCCATCTTTAAATCTTTTAAACAATTTCTGAGCAGTCCTTACACTAATAATGTGTTCACCATGTACACTATTAATTTTTATCGCTACCAACCTGGGAGATTGACTACACGAAAATAAAAAAAGTAGCACAGCACATTTGTAATGATTATCTATATTCATCTTCTATGGGTACTAAAATGCGTTCGATATTTGAGAAAGATGGTGATGAACTGAATAATATGTTAGTCAAACGATGACAAATTTCAACAGTTTTAAAATAGTATTGTTTTAGTAAATGCATGATAGTGAATTCCACGCATACTCTTAATGGGCACGAACTTATGGATTAACCCTATAAAAGGATGATAAACATTGAGTTAAGAACAAAGATCCAAGGATATATCCCCTTCCGTTTTCCTTGTGTGAGAGCTAAACTCATAAAACTTTATTCCGAGAAAAATTTCTAAGAAATTGCCATGGACTTACCTTTTTTATGTTTGTGATAACGATGTTTTGTTACTTTGTTTAAACTTGGACTCGTTATCTGGAGAAACCTTTAGCCAGCAACTTACAACTTTCACTTATAATTAAAGTGAAAGTGTTTTGCTTCAAAATACGAACGCGTTTATGAGACGAAAGCAGTTGACCAATATGAAGTTGTCTTATTGTTTGTCTATGGGCAGACGAAATGAATCACATGACTGCATACATATCTTTGATTGAAACTCGATTACGACAAATTGAAATGAAATCGCATGCATTCCTATTTTATTTCAGAATAAGATTATAAACCTTTAACTAGTTCATAAAGAAATTGAAGAAATTTTGTGCGAAAGTAATCTGGCATTTTGCAGGATTTATTGCTGTAATCCGAAGGAAGGTGAAATGGATGAATACTCCTATTGAACAATGGTACCTATTCAACCTATAAATGCAAATGGGTAAGTTAATTGAAAAATGTGTCTAAATCTCAAGTTTTATTCAGGAATTAAAATGTGCGGGCTTTAAAATGTACATAGACTTTTTTTTTTTTCTTCTCGAGTTGAAAATAAATACCGAGTCATTTGGCTAAAGGCCTTTATAAAACCAGCTATCTAAACGCAAGTAATTCTATTGCATTATACTGTAATACATAGTCTAGCTAGTTTTCCAAACAACATAAGGATTGAATTGCACTATTTAATTAAGGCAAAACATATTAGAACCATCTGCTTAGAATGAAGAATGCTTTGGAGAAGGCAACTACTTAAATAGCCCGTATTCACATTGCCTTATAGAAGGCAACTAGGTCGTACTCATATTACCTTCGAGAAGGCAACTTGGCAACTACCTCATATTCATATTCCCTTCGAGAAGGCAATTAGACAACTAGCACGTATTCGAATTGCCTTCGAGAAGGCAACTAGGTAAACTAACTGGTATTCATATTGCCTTCGAGAAGGCAGCTAGACAACTAGCTCTATTGATATTGCCTTCGACAAGGCAATTAAGCAATTAGCTTGTATTCATATTGCCTTCGAGAAGGCAGCTAGTCAACTAGCTCTATTGAAATTGCCTTCGACAAGGCAATTAAGCAACTAGCTCGTATTCATATATCCTTCGAGAAGGCAGCTAGACAACTAGACCGTATTCATATTGCTTTTACGAAGGCAACTAGACAACTAGCTCTTATTTACAGTTCCTTCGAGAAGACAGATAAGCAACAAGTTCGTATTCACATTGCCTTTGAGAAGGTAACTAGGCAACTATTTCGTATTCATACTGCCTTCGAGAAGGCAACTAGCTGGTATTCTATGTCTTCGAGAAAGCAACTAGGCAGCTAGCTTGTATTCACATTGCCCTTGAGAAGGTAACGAGGCAATTAGTTCGTATTCATACTGCCTTCGAGAAGGCAACTAAGCAACTTTAACTGTGAAGAATATGATAGTTAATAAATAAAGATAATACAGAAAACGTTAAAAAAAACGCCCTTTGGGCATGGTGTAAAATCTGAAAGCTTTCAGATTTTTACCTTTTTATCAAATTGAATTAAATCTGCTAGTGTTTTTATTTATTTTCTTTCTCAAATCTCAAGGCATTTTTGTTATTTTCACTTTGTAATTCAAATCTTGTCAGCTAAATATTAAATTCTTAGACTGACGCTTCTTTCAAATAATAATAATTCCAAATGGGCGTTACGCACTTTTTTGAAATTACTTGAAAAATGAACTATGCACCTTTTTTCCGCTCCTGCACGATGGAAATAAAGTAAAGGAAAACTGGTTTTTATAAATTAAAAAAGTCCGCCAAGTGAATTAATCTTGGCCCAAATTGAAAAAAAGGAGCCTAATTAATATTTTAAATTTCTCGGTAATTTTCTCGCCAAATTTTACAAAATTTAATATTTAGGCATAATTCTATTCATAGAATAGAAATATGGAAATAACATCGGTATGTTATTTCAGAAAAAGGTCCGATTTTGTGTCAAAATACCTATGTTAGAACAATTCTATATATAAATCTAATATATATTCTGTCGTACTTTAGAGACATGAGAAATAAATTTAAATTTCGTTAATCGGCTTAGTAGAACGGTAGATATAGGAACTGTCCCTTTTCTTTTTTTTTTGCAAGAAGTACCATCGATGAAAACTGAACAGCTTAACGATAACGAGTGACGAAAACTTTGAAAGTTATTAGATGGATTGGAACTATTGTTTTCGACAGTATTACGAAAGGTTTTAATAGGAGAACTGGATATAAAACCCAGGGAAAGAGTGCTAAGAGAAAACCAGCACTAGTGTCGAGTTATCACGAGTTATGGGTGCACTGAAGGAGAAGGTAGAAGCACTAGTGCAAGAATTCTTAGTTAAGAAGGTTATGAAATAAAGCAAAATTAAATCTTCTTGTCCTGTAGTATGCATTTCAAAGAAAACCGAAGACCAGCTTTGAGCTTTATTGTTGCAATGATAAACATCTATAAGGTAATTTCTCCCCCCTCTGTGCATGCCTTCGTGATGTAACGGTTAGCACCCTCGGCACGTATTCGAGAGGGCCAGGTTCGAGTCCGGGCGAGGGCATTGCACATTTTTCACCTCGCCTGGTTCAAAAATTCTAATGATTCTACAGTGGCGCCAGAACTAAAAAGTGATGAATGATGATTCTCCACCACCAGAATTTGGTAACTGGGTCCTAATCCTAGTCGCGCTTTAAAAAGGGAAGCATATAAAGTATTTTCTCCCTCCTTTCTGCATGCCTTCGTGGTGTAACGGTAGCACACTCGGCGCGTATTCGAGAGGTCTAAGTTCGAGTCCCGGTGAGAACACTGCACATTTTTCAGATCTCCTGGTTAAAAAATCCTGACTCTGCAAAGTAACTTGCAAAAGTGTGTGTGAAGACTTTCACTATTGTAACTGTGAACAAAGCGATTTACGACTATGTCTGAAAGTACAACATTGGGGTGGGAAGGTTGTAAAAGGCCCTTTATTTTCGATAACAGAATTAACGATAAGATAGATTAACAGAAAGCACACCCGATGCTTGCAAAGTCGCGCCAGCTTTTACAGCGAGAACTCAAAAGTAGAAATCTAAATGCAGAGCTGAATTTAAATAACTACTAGCCAAAGGCTAGGCGGAGTACTTTGTCGCGAAGTTGGTTCGGACTTATCTGCGTGAATTTAACTATCAGAAAGTATAATGCAAGCCGAAGACAGGAATTCTTATAATAGCAAACCTACTAACGCGGCTTTTAAGAGGCAGAGCACGCTCTGTTTTAAAACAATCACAAACCTTCACTTACACGCGAACTAATTTGCATTCTGGTCGGAAAACAGGAAGAGAGAAGTGACAGTAACTTTCCCTAATATAAAACTAACTGGTTAAACAAATTAAATAAACTTCCCATACTCGTTAAAAGAGAGCACTGCACCAAAGTACTACGATGATTAAGAATAAATAATAAATAACAGTGTTGATAATGATGAAAATAGATACCCACTTACGGTGACAGACAGGAAATGTCCAGTAGGTCCTAAGTACCCGCTTTAAGTGAAGTACTGCCTGCGGCGATGTCCAGTTAAAGGGTCTCTGCGTCTTTCTGCTTTTCCTTGAATGTCTGGCTCATATGACCACTAATACGATGCATCATCAAGCACATACGCCAAGAGAGACATTTTAAGAAAAGACCTAAGCAAATCGAACGAAACGAAGAAGCTTGAGTCTCTCTTTTTGAAGTTGCTGCTATGTGGATACAAGGAGGGATGCTTCGACATGTATACGTTTACTGTTTTTATCACATTAATTGCTCGTTGATTTTTTGTAAGTATCTGTAGAAGGAAGGGAACTAGATCAATCTTCTACGATAGCTACTATAGCGAATGTTGATTGGGATTTGAACATTCCAGTAATATCATTATTATCTGAAAAGAAGCCCGAATGGGGTCTGAATTACGCATAACGTGATTAGCACATATCGGTCTATTTAACATTAAATTAACTCGAGTGATATCACCAAATCTTTATATATATTAGCTTTTCCAACTGATTTTCTAAGAACACGTTAGCAAGATTTTATCACAAATACGTTTTGGATTTTCCATTCAACTCATTCCTGAAGTACGCAAATTTCATTGAGATTGAGGTCGAGTGTGTATATAGCAATTAGCTTGCGTTATTCATCAAAATTAAATATAAAAAATATTCTGTTTGCGAATCTTAATATTTGTGGTTTAAGAGAAACCGAACTTTCCGCGATATCTAGAGTAGATTTGATAAAATATAGGGTAATAGGGTAAGGTTGTATTCTATATTAAATTAAATTAATGTTAATTTAATATAGGGTTAATATTAATTAATTAATTTAATATAGGGATTATATTTATTTAATAAATGGTTTATATTAATTTAATACAGGGTTGTTGTTGCAAGTCGTACCACCGTTTAAGTCGTACCTTTTTAAATATTAGACTTAATAATCACACCAACTGCGTCTTTTCCACAAAACAAGTTACTTCCTAGTCAACCATATTGCTTCACATCGTGTTCCTCTCCATGTAATATCTGTGAGGAAGACTGCGAAGAGAAAATGATAGGGTGTCTAAAATGCAAAGGATGGGTACACGACTTATACACTGAAGTTGACAAGAAAATTAAAAAAAAAAATACCTTTGCGATCCGTGTTTTAATTAATAATGAAAATAAGTTAATTGGGAAAAAGAAAGATTTATTATAACTGTCTTAGTTTAAACGTAGTACAATTTAAGCTGCAGGTGGTACAATTTAGAACACTAGTTTGCCTAATTCGCATAAGCTCGTATTCATAAATTTTATTAATTTTATCCAAGATATTAAACTTCATGGAGTTTCATTGTAATAATCGGCGAAGCCAACACAATTATACTATTTTTACACATAATTTTCTATTTTACTTTTTTGTACGAAGTGAAGGAAGTATTGTAATCACGAAAATTTTCGGGCATCATATTTCAACGAAAATATCCATTTTGACCGCTATCGAATGCAATTTAAGGATATTATATATATACATATACCCACTCTGTTACTCGGCTCCTTGAGCTCAGTTTTTATTCTTCTGTGTTGGTAAACTGTTAAAAATAATTGAATTTTGTTGTTCTTATCTTCCGGTTAAGGTTTTTATGCCTTTAGTTAATATGCATGCAATAGTTGTAGAATTATCAACAATTTAAAACTTGTTTAAGCGCGGCTAAACCTAATTTTTTTTTACCATAGCAGAGATATTTTTTTTTTACATCTGAAACTTAGCAGAACACGGAATTAAATCAGTTTCTTGCCCGCTGGCCGAATTGCTTTTTTTTTTTTTTTTTTTGCGTAGAAACTCTAATTTTAATTGTAAAAATTGTTTTTTAATTGTTTTAACTGTATTTGGTGTTTTATATTTTTCAGTTTTTAATAAAGCTATTTTGAGATTTTATGTGTCTAAGTGTGTTTTTTATTTATTATATTGAGCGGTGATAGTTTTTAAGTTAGGATATCTTCGGCTAAGTGTTTGAATATTAGTGAAATATTTTGGATCTCTTATTTTGTATACAATTAAGGTGCTTTATTAGGCCTAGTAGATTTTGAATTGCCAGTGTTTTAAGTAGATTTGCAGCAGGAAATATAAATCAACAATTAATTATAGATCATGTTTAATCTATTATTTTATTGTTTTACACATTTTCCGAATTTAAATTATGTCAAGATTATAAATCGCCAAAGCTGAACCTAGATATTTAGTAGGCAATGATAAATAGACTAGAATTAACGTATTTACAAATCAGAAATAGAGTGTTTTAGTCAAGAAATCGGTAGATACTATTATTCAGGAAATCTTAACCAAGTGAACGAAATTTCCTTGAAGGAGATGGAATTTGTTATAGGCTGCTAAACATCTCGAGTGAAAAGAAACTAAGATCTTTAAAGGTTCATATTTTTACTAGGTACAATAGGAGTAACTAATTTACAGGCCTTTTATTGCCATAAAATATTGTAATTCCAGAGATGAAGAAATTTCTTTTCTTATGCTTTTCCTGGATTCTTTTCATCAGAAAGTGAAAACGGTCTTCCGCTTTCATCCGATTCAAGACTTTTGACCTTCTTCAACCCGCAGAGCTTGTTCCAATCTTTTGGAATGTAGTCTCTGAAAAAATTAACAAAATATGCTAAAGGACAATATTCGGTACAGCCTCTGACGGTGAACATAAACGGATCTTGAAATCCAAGCTCTGGATTGCTGGAATTGTAATACAACATGCGCACTTGATAGTTGTTATAACGCCGGTAAAGCTCCCAGACAATTGTTGCGCAAGGAGGTGGCCTAAATCCGTTGAAACGGAATGTTGACATAAGAAGGGCAGCTATGTTCCAGTCATGCTGAAAAAAAAAAAAAAAAATGTAGAATTTAAAATTTTGTTTCTTAATGTAAAATCACCAGTGAGAAATGTATTATTGTGTTGGCAAGAAAGTAATTTCGGTTTTATAGTGTGAATTAAAACTCTGTTTTTTCCACGCAAAAATAAACTTATCTTTATGAACTTATTAAACATCGTCTATTATGTTTTTTGTCACTTTTGACTTCTTTCTGCTAACTTTATGATTCTTCGCTCGTACAACTTCTGGTCTTTATCAGAAAAAAAACCTCAACCAAGTGCAATTTTAGGTCATAGTTATTGCTAAACTTTTTAGCATGTAATTAGTTTTCTAAACTTCGAAATTAATGAAAATCCGATGGTGCAAGGCAGGGGCTATATGTGGAATGCGACATCACTTCCCGACCGAGCTCCAGTTATTTCTTACAGGTTGCTAAATATGTGTGAGGCCTCGCTCTTATCGAAGTAAAACACGATTCCTTTGGGATTTACCAATTATGGTCTTTTCTATTTAATTGGTTCCTTCAAATTCATAAGCATTTGACGATAAACCTCTGAGTTGATCGTTTAGTGGCTTGGGAGCAGCTTGGAATACACAACATCTTTCTAATCCCGTTAAATTCACAGCATGAACCTTTTCTGATGTAACTTAAATGTCCATATGATTTGTGCTGATTCACCGTGCTTGGCTCATGGTCCTGTTATGTAGGCCAGGGCTTTTAAAATTTCATCAGTCGCGACCTCTTTTTATCACTGAGATTTTTTTTTCGCAAAACCAGGACCCCATAACAGTTACGAAAATTTTGTGGGCTCCCATAAGCATTGCACAAATCCGACACACGCGGGGAGATGCTAATTTTTTCACTTGTACTCTAATATAGTATTGCATTAACTTTAATTTCTAATTTTAAGACGTAGGACAATGTGAAAATTTTATATAAGTAACAGACGAAATGACAGCGTCACGTGCAAAGCAAGTAAAATGAACGTTTCTGTTATAAAAAAAGAATGCGTCGAAACGTTTTCGTTTTTTCTTTGTATGTATTGTCTTATCTTTATATAGTTTCAGATACATTGTGAAAAAATATTTGGTAATTGAAAAATTATTATAATATAATAAGTTGACCCACTGCTGCAGGTCCCGCGACCCCATGGGAGTCGCGAAACACAGTTTAAGAAACTCCGTTGTAGACGATCAATTTTTCATTAAGAGTGGTAATTCGTTTCAAAGAAAGGCTGACTGCATTCCGTTCGAAACGCGTATCGGAAATATTGGTTTGTTAAGTGATTTTTTTTCAATTCCTACAGAACACAAATAACGTGTGATAATCTCATGTGATTTTCAGTTGTTGTGTGTGAAACATTTTATCGTTTTGCAGTCTCTGGTGCAGTTATATGGCAATCTGATTCAATCATCGCTTTAATTTTGTTAACATCCACTTCAAAAGCTCGGCCTGTTAACTTCAGGTGAAAATTCTCCAGAATGAAATTTTTAAGCCGATTCTGACACATGCGTTCTGTTGAGCAATCAGCAACATAAACTTTACGTATATCTTTGTGAGCCTCAACCGCTTTCTTGCCTTTATGAAAATAGAAAAGTAAAGTATGTCGAAAATGTTTATTTTAGCACCCCATGTTAAAATTGGCCGTAAACTAACAGTGCAGACAAAAATAGCAACTTAAAGGTATAGATAGCAACCTAAAGTATCAGCTGCCAAATTTCAAAAATAAATAAATAAATAAATAAAATAAAATAAAAGTAGATTAGTTTGACAGGAGAATAAAAAAACAAAGATAACTCTATCTATTTGTGCGAAACGAAATTACTTTCTTGCCAACCCAGTATATTAGGAATTTCAAAAAGATTGCTTGAGCAGAAAAATCTACGAAACTTAAGTTTTTATACTGCCCTCGTTAAAAAAATGTATATGAGAAAAATCCTTTCCACAGTGACTTTAGTAAGAACAAAATGCATTATTCTGCGATTAATATTATTCATGATATCATTACTTACTTTTCTGGAAGACCATATACCATGCGCACAAGTATGAAATACGGATTTCAGATAACAAATAGCGCACCAATGCAGTTTGTGGTATAACGATTTGGCACTGCGCCATTTTGTTGTGTCACCAACAAGTGTCAGACAAGTAGTATAAAAATGTCCGTTGATACTTATATATGTTTAACGTAAAATACGAATTACTAAATAATAGCCGGTGTTTAAAATACATTTCTTTTTCTTCATTTTCAAATTAACACTTGTAGATATACTGAAATCAGAAATTTTGCATTTTAAAAACTTAAGTTTAATACTATCCTTAAATCGCCATTGGTATTTATACCCGGTTATTTTTAATTATATTTTGTAGCACGTTAATAGGTCGAATATATTTCGACGTCATCCTAATATGCCATTTCCAGATTCTTTTTTTCCTGTTTCATCTTACGGTCAAAATCGTGCTGGTACTTCCCCTATTATTCCCCTTCACTCCAGTTAGTAACAATATTACCGTGATTTATTATTTTCATATAATCAAGCCTTTACTTCTATTCTAGCTGTGGTGAAATACCAGAAGGATGTTTGATAAAAATCTAAAACAAACAGATAATATAAAAAAGGAAGTTTTATAGGGTTTTGTAAAATTAATTGCGAATTTTCTTTTTTAAGTCTTAATTTTATCTTTTTTCATAACTTTTCTAATGCCGAATTGTTTTACAAGCATTTAATATTAAATATTTCTTATCTGAACTAGGTTTATAAGTCAATATTTGCTTTTGATACTCAGTTAATTTTATTCAACTATTTTATATACAGTTGAATCAATTTTCACTCAATGAATCATCATTATCATCAAGTTCTGTAGAAGTAAAGTGATGATCAATCTCAGAAACAGATGTGTCAAAATCAGTGGCATCGCAAAACGTCTATAAAAGATACACAGGTATGGGTTGTAATATATACAGGTACATCTGCGATATTGCTAATTCCGTCCTACAGCTGCCTAAATACAGTAAAGCAAAAGACTTTCAAAGCATTTTCGTCTTTAACTAAATAAAATAAAAAATACACCCAAAGGGATGTTTTTTCATTTGCACACGTTTCGACAGCCGTTTCATAAGCACTTGGGCTAACCCCTTCGGGCAAAAAATATTTGAATACAACATACCTTTAGAATTTCCAATAGACAGTCTTTCTCGCTGGAGATAAAAATGTTTTATTCCGTATAGTGTATCCACTGCTCGCTTTATATATATATACATCTTATATTCAGGTTAAGGTATTTATGCCTTTAGTTAATCTGCATGTAATTATAAACAATTTAAATGCTGTTTTTTTACATTTGAAACTCTTAAACAGAATGGTGAATTATGTCTGTCTCTGCACCAACTTCAGTGTCTTTTTGCAGAGTGGGACCAAAGGTAATCTTTCACTTTTGCTCACCGAAAAATCTGTATTCTTGCCCGCTGGCTGAATTGCTTGTTTTTACGTAGAAACTCTAATTTGGATAGTAATTTTTTTAAAACTGTATTTGGTGTTTTATGTTTTTCTGTATTTTACAAGTTAAGTCGTTTTGAGTTTTTATGCATTTTTGCCTTGCCGTGGTGTGAGAACTGAATTGATTGAATGAGGAGTACATCTCTGATGAAATTGGAGGATATAAGTTTAAATGAAATGCTGCTAAGTGTATAACTTAACGGGCCATACAGAGAAGTCATGTGGCATCCATATCAGATTTTTTTATTTGCATCACTCACAGGTAAGGGCTAATAATGATTTTGTTAGTATCAGCTTTAATGAGTTTCACATTTCACTTTGAGTCTTAGAAGTTATGTTTAAGTCAAGAGATTCAGAATTAGTTTTAACACATCAGAAGCTCTAAATTCTCTCCAGGCAATTACGGAAAATAAAAAATTTACTTATTTTAAATATTCATAAAAGCACTTTCTCAATAAACATAAAAAATGATTTATCTTAAGTGGAAGTTTTTAGCTAAGAAGACTAGGTTCATTTAAATAGTTTCTAGTTTCGTATTAATCTAAGCCTAAATTTACCCTTTCGTTTTTATGTACTACAATGCTTAATGTTCTGAATAATCGTTGTAGAATTATCGCTGATGATGTTATGAACTTCTTGAAAGATTGTCTAAATTTTGCCTTTTTTTAAATAAAAACATTTATCAGAGCTTGCAGAGCCATTAGGGTTTAAAAAAAAGCAGGAGACATACAAAATGAGTAATGCCTTCCCCGGGACTCGAACCTGGACATCTCGAATATGCGCCGAGTGTGCTACCGTTACATCACGAAGGCATGCAGAAAGGAGAGAGAAAATATCTTATAAGAAATACATTGTAAAATACAGGGTGATCTTTTTTAAAGTGACAGTGTTTGGAGCGCCCTGTAGCGCGATCTAATAGCCGAAATGGCACCAAACTTGGTATTTAGACTAATCAAGACATGGGACATCAAGACATACAATCGTACAGTTAATTTAATTTTTTTACATTACTCCCGGGAGATAGACACTCAATGTAGCCCGTCTCAAAATACCGTCATTCTGCAAGTTCTCCACCGTATGACATACACAGAAATTTGACGTTGTTGTTGTTTAGATGAATTTGATCCCCACAAACGGTTTGACAAATGCAGCGTTTTGTTTTGAAAGAAAAAGGCTAGAGGGCGCTGTTGCTCGCTTAGTTGTAAGAGAATAAAGTTTGTTCATGTTGAAGGCGGCGGCCTAAGAATACGCTCTGTATATAGTAATTAAAATATTGTTTAAAAATGTAAAAGTGTTAAAATTAGTAAACTCCACTGAACCACCATCATCTGATTTGGAGATGCACAAAATTATTAGATGGTGCATCGGCGTAAGGAATTAAGGCTTTGTGAAGATTTTAGGTGTTCGATCCAAGTGTTTCGATTTCAATGGATATTTCATATTCAAGGACAATGGAATTCCAAATAAAGGTAGGGAAATCTTAAATTAATTATTTAGTGATTATT